CTTTTGGGTTCTCTGAGCACCAAGAATTTATTATTGGATTCCTCAATCAGGCACCCCAAACATTGGACTCGTTTCCACAATCTCATTGGGACAACTGTCAAATTCGTTTTTGGCCATACTTTCTATGCACCTATGCAATATGTTGCTATTCTTGAGCTGCTCGGGGTGTTCTATTGACCTTGGCATCCCTTCTGGTTTGTACTTTTTGCAAGCTAGTGTATTGTCTACGGAGATGGTTGTAGTTGCCACTAGTAGAGGTGATTGTACTGAGGGAAGATCAGGATGTTTTCATCCTCCTTCTTCATTTACCTTGCATGTTTCCACTTGAGTCAACCTAATCTTGTTTCCCACCCTCTCACCCAACATCCCAAACCTCTACCTAGCAACACGTGATAAAAACATACAAAGAGACTTTTGTTGCATATCTAGTTTTCAGTTTCGGTTCCATTTTCAATTTCATTACGAGAGAGCAAGGCAAACTTAAACATGATAAGAATTAAGATATGCAACAAGTCTTTTCTGTCAAAAGCCAGCCAATCAAAGGAGCACATTCAAACTTTTCAGGTGAAAACACCAGATCCCTTACTGGTGATTTGATTGAAGGGGGTGAAGTTGATTTGGTATCTATCTTCTGTACATCTATTATGTGTGTATCTATCTAGTCTGTTCAATCTCGACAAGCTAAGACAATGAGAAGAGATCTAAAAATTGACTTACTTTTTTATGCCAGATATCCACGAATTGATACAAGGACTCAAGCGCTCAAACTTTCTGTCGCTTCCTACTACAACTTATTTCAATATAACGCCGACAATGCAAGTTCGATATGACACCCCAAATATTCTTGAGTATTGGGCCCAAGCTTCGCAACTAATCCCATCATACTTACCAATTATACGAGGAAAGAGGAGTAAGGGCATTTTTGGTGCGACATACAAACAAATTGACAAATGGGATGTGTATCAATGAGTTCAGCACAATTACGATATCGTTCTAGTTCTAGTTTTGGGGAATGTCACGTTGGAGTTGAGAGTTGTGGCTTGGGGGAAAGTAGAAGAGGTAAGATTTGTTGCTTCGCGACAGTCAAAAAAGATGATGATGGGAAGAGGCGGGGGGTTGACGGAGGAGCATGAAGGTGTTCTAACTTTTCGTTGTTGATTGAGGAAGGGAGAGAGATATGTGATCACAAATTGGAGTAGTGGGAGTGAGCGTAGTCTTGAACTCTTAGCAAATGGTTTTCTTGTTGGAGACGAAATAGATACATTTTTTCCATGTTCAAATACAATTAGAAAGAATATAGATTTGCAACAACATCCTCAACTTTGTTCTTTATATTCTTACTCAACTAGCAGTCTCATGTCGCACATTACCAAGTCATCAAAATATCGATATCAGTTAGAAAGAAGGCAGGGATAATATCGGCCAGACCGTTACGAATACCAACGGATCTCCACAAATTACACTTTTATCATCTTCGTGTGCAAGGGTCCAAGGCTGACGTTCTGTTTCATTTTGGCATAAGTGTATCTGAAAGGACGAGGGCTCGAGGAGGATAAACGTTGGTCAATTTAACGGCTCGATATCGATATTTGATAGGGAAGGGTTACGTAAAGTGAGGGTGGTTATCTTTCCCCACATTTTCGTGGGCAGTGGAGTTAGCATTGGCCATGATATTGAAACTGGGCCTGGCTTCGGGAGCGAGGTTTATTTATATACTCTGTGTAACAAATATGGAGGTTCCCCAACAGGTGGTTTAGAAGCATTATGGTTAGAAGTGATACAATAACTTGTAATAATGAGTTAATGTCACCATATCTTGGCAAGGGTATATAAAAACGCACGGGAAAAGATATTCATGTTTGATTCCGCATTGAAGATAGGATAAGAGCTCTTCAAAGTATCGTGCCGGAACTAAACCTCGATGTTGCATACTTCATGGTGCGCGATAAGGATGGCAAGGAAGATTAATTGGTGCAAGATAAAAGATAAGCAATTTCTGGTGTATCTTTTCATATCTAGTAGATGCGGGCAGTTTTACCATTGGCCTGGTATTGTTACAATACATGATGTTTCTTCACATGACTTATGTTTTGTTGTTCTGAGTTGATAATCATTTCAGATAAATTCAAGAAGGTCCTAAGAAATACACGATGTACTTGTGTATACATATATGAAATGACCGAAAAGCTAACTACCACAGTAGAAGAAAAAAGCAAAAAAGAAAAAAAAAAAGATAAAGTAGAATTTATATCAAGATAAAGACATTGAAAACGAAGCCATCAAAAGAAGTTCACCCGATTCCCGAAGCCACCTCTTGATAGCAGGGGTTCAGGCTAAACCTTCCTGATCAAGTATAAGATCTGATAGCTGTTGTACGACCCCTTCCGCCCTGCGAGCAAACGTGCTTCAAATGGAATTCTGTCATGCCTTGCGGGAAATTGATAAACCTCCGTGTACTACATAGATATGCCATGTCCGCTATATCTTCTCCAAACCTACAACAATCATCCTCATATTGAATGAAGATGGCTACTTTGACACAGTCGAAGAGCAATGCATCGGCTCACAATGACTTGATACGTCGTCCTTCTGTCACGACGGCGTTGCCGGCTGGAGATAGCCCAAATCTTGAAGGCTTGAGTGCGGATGAAGCTGCACTGACGGCTTTGGGTTATAAACAAGAGTTCAAGCGAGAATTCTCCTTATGGACAACTTTTTGTGTTTCTTTTGCTGTTCTTGGATTGCTGCCCAGTTTCGCGAGTACCTTATATTATGGAATGGGTTATGCAGGTACTGGAGGAATGGTTTGGGGGTGGTTGGTAAGTTGGTTCTTCATCCAATGTGTTGCTATGGGAATGGCAGAGTTGTGTTCGAGTATGCCGACTAGGTGAGTGTTCTTCGATATTGTTCAAAAATGCAAGCGCTAAATATTTTCGAGTGGTGGATTATATTATGCTGCAGCAGTACTCGCTCCTCCAGGATGGGGTCCATTTGCCGCTTGGATAACTGGGTGGTCGAATTGGATGGTCCAGATCACAGGAGCACCCAGTGTGGACTATGCGCTCGCTGCCATGATTCTAGCTGCCGCATCAATCACTCATCCCGAGTACGAGCCAACAAATTACCAGACGTTCTTATTGACCGTCTTTATCATGATCATCCATGGAGTTATATCGAGTATGCCAACATTATGGATTGCGAAGTTCAATTCGTTTGGATCGACGTTGAATATGATAGCTTTGTTGGTGGTAATCATAATGATTCCAGCATCGGTCACCGGAACTGCCACAACGCCAAAATTCTTTCCTTCAAAGGAGGTCTGGTCTATCCAGAATGGTACCGATTGGCCAGATGGAGTCGCAGTCCTCATGTCGTTTATCGCCATTATTTGGACGATGTCGGGATACGATGCCCCGTTCCATCTCTCGGAGGAGTGCAGTAATGCCAGTGTCGCGGCCCCACGCGCCATCGTTCTGACCAGTGGAATTGGAGGTCTTATGGGATGGGCTTTGCAACTTGTTGTTGCTTACACTGTCATCGATATTACCGAGGTCGTTGATTCCCCACTTGGACAACCATGGGCATCGTATCTCGTTCAAGTGATGCCACAGAAGATCGCGCTCGCTATACTTGCCCTCACTATTATGTGCGGATTTTTTATGGGTCAAGGATGTATGGTGGCCGCTTCTCGAGTAACTTTCGCCTATGCCCGAGACGATTGTTTTCCATGTTCTTGGTGGATCAAGAGAATTAATAAGTCTACTTACACTCCAGTCAATGCCGTGTGGTTCAATACTGTCATAGGTTGCCTTCTCCTGTTGTTGATCTTTGGCGGAAGCGTAGCCATTGGCGCCATCTTCTCCGTTGGTGCCATCGCAGCCTATGTTGCCTTCACCATCCCTATCTTTATTCGCGTATTCTTCGTTGGGGATAGATTTCGACGTGGACCATGGCATCTTGGCAAATTCAGCAAGCCGATTGGAATGGCTGCCTCTTCTTTTATCCTTGTTATGATGCCAATTCTTTGCTTTCCAGCATATAGAGGCAATGATCTGATTGCCTCTTTGATGAACTGGACCGTGGTTGTGTATTTCGGACGTGAGTACTCTTTATTATTGGGGTTCTTTTATATCCATCTTCGGCGGCTAATAATAGATTCAGCGATGAGTATAGTAATGATCTGGTGGTTCGTGTCAGCACATAAATGGTTCAAAGGACCTGTAATCAATGTCGAGGTAAGTTACATACATCCCACACTAACATTCCAGCCACGAAGGCTAACACTGGTAATCCTAGCATCATATGATGGGTAGAGACCCGGAAGAAATTATGGAAGGCGTCGAAGATAGTTCAGATGATGGAAAGATCAAGCCAAATCCCTTCGAAAAGAAAGCCGAGTCGGGAGGGGATCGAGCTCTTGAGACTTCTGCGGTAACCCAGTGAAAGCTCCTGGGTCTGGAAGCATATCAGTATTAAGATCTGTTGAAACACTAGGAATAGTGAATGTACATTGATATCTTAACCAATAATTAATTGTTTTTCTCTTGCATTAATTGCAAAACAATCATAGTAACAAAGACACCAATTCCAAATACCATACAGGAGACTGGTTCCATGTCAGTTGGTCTTTGTAGGCTGGGTTTGAAGGTGTAAAGTATAAAAGAATCTTATCGAGGGAGAACTTTCTGGAGATTTGAACAATGTGGCATTCAGATGGAAGGCATGGATTGAGAAGGAAGATATACTCTCCTTCTCCCACTCTGAAAGAAACGACAGTCACCTACATCGGCGATCCGTAAGCAAAGCTTGCGCGATTTTTGCTATGCAAACTGGATATAAAATCCCTCATCATGGTAGAACCCCCTCAAATTGCCCATGAATTCGCGCAGAAATGACACAGCTTATCATCACACTGTTACCAATAGAAAGTATAAATTTTACCACTTGGTCTCAGAAGAAACATGGGAATAATTCAAAAATGATAGGGCAACATGAAAAGGATGGGAATACGAAGAGGAAGTGACGAGAATGAAGATAATGTTGAGCAACCTGAGTAGAGCGTATTGTATGTAGAAACCCCCACTTAGAGCAGATATTGTAGATCCCAATATTTGAGGAATCCGATGATAGATATTCTGCAGTTCTGCCAGACTTGGAGGATATACTACTTCTTCCACCTGCCCCTCCCTCATCGTTTCCAAGCACCAGGATACTCACACTATCTCCCCCACATCCCACACTCCACAGTCGACTGACATCATCTCAATTACTCATTCCCATAAGCGTTGAGGTAGAAAGCTTTCATGTAATAATCAAGGTAACTCAAGGCAGCACAAGACAGAAATCCGAGAGAGATGTCACCAATGTGCCTTAATTCTCAGGCCTCAGTTGAACAATGGCCATCGCCAGGCTCTCCTTGTCAATTCGAAGCTCTCGAACCCCTAAAACCATTGAACCGTTTCCACCCTCTGTAGCCTTTTGCAGTGTGTTCTCAACGAATTATGAAATGAAAGGCATGCAATCATAGTTCTGTATGAGTAGCAAATTCTAGGCACGATGTCATCCAACGTTCCGAAATCTGCCGCTGGAAACGCTTCCCTATTATCTCCTTCGAATTACGACGACGATGCGCCGTCAATACATTCAGAGCACAGTAATCAAGACGAAGACAGTGATGATGACAAAATAATTCGGGGGGCGCGTACGTCCGCAGATATTAGGAAATATGATCGAGGTGTATTAGAAGAAGAAGAAGAAAGGGACGAGCTCTTAGAAAGGAATTTGAAGCGCGGGAGAAGAGGAAGCGCATTGGAAGGAATAAGCTCAGGACTTAGAGGTCTATGGAGTAAGAGCCATGTTCTCTTACCTGGAGCTGGCAATGAAGGTTCCTCAAATCAAGACGATGAAACCGAAGTGGAAGAAAAACGACGCCAAAGGAGAAATAGACGGCAGAAGAAGAGGGAGAAATTAATGGAAGATGCAAGTCATGGCGAAGACGGAGAGTTGATGTTCGAGATGGAAGGGGGGCGCATGAAAGAAGGTAGTGCGACAGGGTCAAGCAGCGAAACTGATGAGAGCGACGATGCCGACAGACGTGGCTTGCTAAACGTACGGGACCAGGCGGCACAACGAAAAACTGCGAAATGGGCTTGGTGTGCTATATATCTTCTGATAGCATTGGGATTCACGGCTCTTTTGTTAGTGGCATGGAGGCTGTCGAAGAAAGCACGGTTCACGAAAGAACATCAAATTTTCCTAAGCAATGGCACAGCTTTATTCGCGCCAACAACGATCTTAATAAGCTTAGATGGATTTCGAGCGGATTTCTTGAAACGGGGCATCACACCTAGGTTGAATACTTTCGTCGAAGAGGGAATTTCGCCTGTCTATATGAATCCAAGTTTCCCTTCCGTCACCTTTCCAAACCATTATACATTGGTTACTGGTCTCTACCCAGAATCACATGGTGTTGTGGGAAATACATTTTGGGACGAGAAATTACAAGAAGAATTCTACTACACCAAATCTGAAGCGATGCACAAGAAATGGTGGGGCGGCGAGCCTCTATGGGTCACTGCTGAAAATCAAGGAATCAGAACTGCCATTCACATGTGGCCAGGAAGTGAAGCAAATATCATGGATGTGGAGCCTGCATACTTGGATAAATACAACGGACAAGAACTGCTTTCCAACAAGGTCAGCCGAGTACTTGAGCTTTTGGATAAGCCTGGCCGGGAAGATAGTCAAGCAGCTTTGGCTGATATGAGACCTCAATTAATTGCAGCATACGTACCCAATGTTGATCAGCATGGTCATCTTTACGGGCCAAATAGCACTGAAATCAGGGTTACTATAACAGAGGTTGACACTATGCTTGATCAATTGTTCCAAGGACTTGAGGCAAGAAATTTAACAAACATTGTTAACGTTGTCATTGTTTCAGATCATGGAATGGCTACTACAGACACAAACCGCCTTATTCAACTAGAAGATATTATTGATACCAGTCTAATTGAACACACTGATGGTTGGCCTTTATATGGACTTCGACCAAAAGATCTCTCACACCTTCAAGGTCTTTACGATACTTTGGCTGCAGAAGCCGCTATCAATCCCAATTTTGAGGTTTATCTACGAGATGTCAATATGCCCGAACGTTATCATTTCTCCAAAAATGAGCGAATTGCACCTTTATGGATTGTTCCAAAGACTGGTTGGGCGATTGTCATGAAGGACGAATTTGATGTAGTTGAAGGAAAAGCAAAAGGAATTGCCTATCACCCTCGAGGACTGCATGGCTACGACCATGAGCATCCGCTCATGAGAGCTATTTTTATCGCTAGAGGCCCTGCTTTCCCACATGAGCCGAATAGTCGTGTTGACCCTTTTCGTAAGTTCACAGCGATCTTTCCCAGCTAAGCTTAACTAACATAGCTCAGAAAATATCGAAGTGTATAATATAGTTTGTGACTCTCTGGGACTTACACCTAACCCCAATAACGGCACATTACGTCTTCCACTCAAGCCTGTTGGGCTTCACTCGTCTGATACATCTCCTCCCGAACCTGCTGATCCTGAGCCAAGTCCTTCAAAGCTGGAGCCTCAAACAAACGCAACTCTATCCATATCACCAATTGAAGCTAGCTCTGCAGCAGATCCCAATGTAGTCCCTCCACAAATGGTGGGTGTAGATACACCAGAAGACTTGGAAGATCCCAATGTGGATAGGCCAGTAGTAGGAGACGAGAGTAGTAAGACAGATGATGAGAAAAATTGGTGGGCATGGTTCAAGGGAGAACTAGATGACTTTAAAGGCTGGATTTCTGATTTAACCCATAAGAATGGGACCAACGGAACTCAGGCCTAGGGATAGAATTTACCGCTATTTTCGCTAATATGCGATATACTAGGAGTTTTGGTAGTAAACACGAAATGTCTGGGTTGGGGTTTAACAAGGCGTCTAAATTAGATACCATATGCGGGAATTTCAATGTACAATAGATTTTTTGAGAAATAATGACTTTCATGACTATGATTTGATTCCAAAGCTAGCCAAGTAGTTGATTTGCTAGTCGGGGCTTTCTGAAGTGCTAACAGCTAGAGGAATTCGCTTGCATTACTGGACGCTAAACTCAGGAGGTGCATTTATTTGCCTCTTAAAAGACCTGTTAGCAGAAGTGTGGCATTAAGTTGGAGAAGCAGTACTTCGATTTTAAGCATTCTCCATTTTCCCATGTATAGTTCTCCTGCCATTCACAATGAGTTCTGAACCAGCCTGAACTTTGACGTTACCATGGACCGTAAAGTTTCCATGAACATGCAGCTTTCCGTTAATCTTCACATTACCGCTAGCTTTCAGCTCGTTGCTAGAATCAAAGTCAGTCTATACGTTATGATATACTCAGGTCATTGACTCACCGAATTTCCACATCCCCTTCAATCTCCATTCCACCTCTCGATTGTAGATCTCCCAAGACAATCCTCTGCTTTTCTAACGACTCAACAATAATTTTGCCACTACTCTCCACATTTCCCACCTCTACTGCTCCCCTGATAGTAACTTGTCCGCTCGTATCCACCTTCCCGCCAACCCTCACCAATCCTCCTATTCCCTCTAGTAACACCTTAGAGCTACTCTTCACGTCTCCCTGCACATATACATCTCCTCTCATCTCTATACTCGAACTACTCTTCACAGTTCCCATAATCACAACTCCCCCTTTCCCCTCTCCTCCATCTAACGAAATAGACGAACTCGATCTCACATGGTCGTGTACAGTGACATGATCGTAGAGAACAATTTTAGCGCTCGCTTTGATGGGGCCGCAAACCGTCACGTGGTGATATAATGTCACGGATGAGGAACCAGATACTGACTCGAGAATTTTAAGGGGCCAGATAGGGATACTGAGCGGGATGAGGATACGGCGTTGGAGATGGGGATATTGAGTGGAGGAGATGTTGAGGGATTAGAGGAGGACGGAGTAGGAGGGAGGGAGGAGAAATCTGGTGGGTAGCTGGAGCCTGAAATTGTGGATGGGGCGGGGGTATCGTAGGGGGTATAGGCGGGCGGGCCCTCTGTGTCGGCTAGTTCGGGGATTTGAACTTTGTTATCGCCAGGGATGAAAACCATTCCGATTGTGGTGAGTGTTGAGGTGGTTTTTTATATATATAAATGAGTGCTACGTGGTGAAGTTGAAAGTTGATGTTGGAAATCTGACTATGCGAATAGATATAGATGAAATGATGTAAGAATAATCTTGAGAAACAAGGGATGTTGAAATGATGGATATATAATTTGCTGACGCAAGCATTTTCAGCTTCTGTTTGTAGTGAGTCTGATAAAGATGGCAGCCTGATATCATTGTGGCTCAATACCCCGCATCATTTGTAAGCCAATTCTCATTCATTGGTAGGCTCGTATGGTGTATAAATTCTCGTCTAGCTCTAATTACCATTTACTTTCTCAACTGTTATTTTCTGCTTCAGTTCATCTACCACCCCAATATAATCCTTCGCGCTATATGGTTCAAAAATTTCCCAAAACCAACTTGACTTTCTGTGACTTCTCAACCCCATGTCGTGGAGCAACATGTCATAATATGGCAACCCGTCAAAAACAGTATCAGGATGTCTAGCACCAAAGCCTGAAGGATATCTCCACTTTCCAAATCTGCTGTGTAGAACGGTTTGATATTCCATGTCGGAAGGAATGGAGACTTTGTTGTTGAAAAATGCAGTAGCCCAAAGTGCTTGAAATTGAGCCAGGAATGCTGTAGAGACCGACGTCATACAACCCAGAAAAATGATATCCCTAGACTCGACGAATTTTGGAGGGACCATGAAACGAAATAGTCTAAAAGGCTCGAGCCTTCCTTCGGGGGCTCCTTCCATTGGCTTTACTCTCTTAACTGCAAGTGGCTCATCCTTCAATTTGGGAAACTTGGAGAGAATTTCTTTATCGGCTCTTTCTATCAAATCAGTTGGTTCCTCAGATCCTGGGGCGTGCGGAAGTCCTAAATCTATTCCTCTAGGGAGAAATTCCAGTGGCGGTACATGTTTCCATCCGGTAGCACATGCGAAAGCGTCGGTCTGTATTTTTTCGCCGTTTGAAAGGCTCACTGTGTTCGCACTTAGGTTTACAATATCTCCAATGTGCACAGAGATTGCACCTTTGCGAACAAGTTCGAAGATATCCGTATCATGATTCAAAATCGAAAGCATCGTTCCAACGTAGAAAGAATTCGACCAAGGCTTAAGCTTCGCAGTCTCTGGGTGCTTATCATACCCATTTACCGTCTTAATCTCGTTTTCTGAATTTGCCCAATACTTATCGACAAACCAGCGACCAGCCGCTGTACCGTGCAACCAGGAACGGACCGTTCCATAGCCATCATAGTCACCATATATACAAGGACTGAACCAAGTCAAAATTCTCGTATTGACCATCATTTCGATCCAGATCTTGAGAGGCGTGGCGTACGACTCAGCCATCCATCCTGGGCCATGCCCTGACTCTCTAATAATCCAGTCTACATGGATCCCCTTCGACGCATACGCGTAGGCTATATCAAAAGAGGATTTTGCGCCTCCAAAAACACATACGCTTTTCGCTGTCTCAAAAGTATCCAAGTGATTCGGAAATTCTTTCGTATGAAATACAGGTGGTGTGAAGCCCTCAATCCCAGGAAGTGGAGGAATGAATGGCAGTGAAGTCAGTCCTGTCGCAACAATAAGTTTCGATGTGGATATCTTATATTCCTCAAAAGTTGCCGGAACACTGCTTGAACCAATCGTGACAATCCAGCCACCTTCATCTTGATGCTCAGCTGAGATTGCTTTACTCTCGAATCTAATCTTATCATAGACATTGTATTCTTTCGCAAAATCTTCGAGATATTGATGGATTACTGACCCAGGAATATATTCTCCAGGTTTAACGCCATATTTCTCTGTAGTTAAAGGAAACTCGCTATACTCTAGCGCTCCTAACATATTGTTCGTTTTCAGCCCAGGATATAATCTATCATTGGCCCATACACCCCCAATCGTTGCATTATCAGCCAAGACAACAACACTTGCATTAGGGTGGACTTGGAGGTAGGTTTTTGCACCAGCGAGACCAAACCAACCTGTCGCATTGAAAGTCAGCACATTGACATCTCTCATCTCTTTCTGAAGGTTAAGTTACCTGCTCCGACTACTACAAGATCAATTTTACCGTCTTGTGACATCTTTAACTCCTATGATGAGTGGCTGATATAGTTAACAAGAGAAAATATTGTCACAAGGAAGGCCTTCGTATATCTATATTTTATCTCTTTTTTCGATTGACTTCGGTGCTACAAGCTTATCGCAGGGATTTTTGGTAAGATCCTATGATTTGTTGTTAATCCATGGCTCCAAGGCTCCAACGAATTAACAGTGGAGTGCTCACGTACAAATCTCATGACAAGACTTTTCATCCATACAAAAATGATGCCTAACCAACCGGATTACACCAGAATATCAGTTTGACTTTGTGGATATTCGAACATAAAAAGGTGGACGAGTGAGATTTTGGGTCGAAATTTATATGCAGGGTCGCACGCGTTACGTTTGCTACAAAAGCACAAGCCCCCCGGTCCGTTGCACAACCTGCCTTTTTCGGATATATCTATATATCGTAAAACGCACTGATGGCTGTTTCGGGAAGCCCATGATCTGGAGGTTACATTGTTTCACTTGGTATATTTTCTTGTCGAAAATATATGTTTCAATTCGCAATGCATCCAAGCCATATCTACCATTGCCCGATATCAGGACGCCATAACCCTCGAGTTGAGCAATATACATGTTGCGATACAAAATCTGAATCGCAATATATCTACGAATATTACATGTGTACGATGTTTGGTGACATAATGCTGTACACCCAGATCCAATTCGGAGATTAACCCAGTCCAACGATGATCCGATTGACAATTTGAATTTATTTGAACGACTGAAATTGTCTGGGATATCAAAAGTCGCTCCTGATTTGCAATTTGAGGTTGTCGGGAACGCTGACCGTGGATAAGATATTATATGTTGAAAGTGTCTTGTACGAAGCGAATTGATAGGCTTGAAATTCTGGATGCGTAAAGCTTCATGAAGTGACTCCAGTAGCTTCTGTACCATCAAGCTTCCCGAAGATGTTTGGTGCAATTTCATCCACAATCTCCCAATCACACGGTATATAAGCCCTGAACCTGCCCATTAAAATCCCAACATTACAACTACACAATTGGATATTCTCAATTGAAGCTCTAAAATACGCACCCCCTTCAATCCAAACCTCCTTTCCCTTTTCATCATACGAGAAGCCATTCATCACTTCGCTTAGCTTTGTCAATTCGATAGACATACTCACTTCATGAGGGAGCATCGATGTACATGACAAAGCGTTGCATGTTTCTTGTCCGTACATGCAATGAGTCCAAATGACTAATGCTGCAGATGCTAAAGCAATGTAGGAAATTGGGTCGGGGATGAAGTTGGCGAGAGAGGGGGTTCGGTTGAGTGCACTGTGGCTCAGAAGAATTTCAGTGGCATGCCATAAGGCTCGCCGAGAGCTAGGCTCTTGTGTCCATGCACGTGCTACTGCAACACGTTTGGTATGGGGTTGAGAATATATATCTCCGAAGACTCCTCGGACTTTATCAGAAAGTGCTAGATCTTTGGCGAGCATCCTCATAGTCTGAGTCTCGGTAAATAGTTGTAGATTCATCAGATGATGAAGGATAGAAGTGTCGAAGATGAAGCTATGAATGCGTCGGCAAACTATATCTTGCCATCCGGGCTTATCGTGGTCTTCAAGTCCATAGTAGTAACGCACTGGAGACTGTTCTACCTGGTCAAATGTATCGGGGCACGATATTTTCGCGGAAAGATTTGAGAACCCGCGCTTTAGAGCTTCCAGTTGGCGTTTTAGTGATTGTTTTTGAATATTTAAACTTATTTCATTCTGTCTCTCGGGCCGACTCTGCTTTGAAAGCTGCAATATTTCTGACTGCATAGCCCAAAGACAAATCTGAATATCCTCCAACATAGACTCATTTTCTGGAAACTCAATTCCTCCAAGAGCTACTTCTTCAAACATCACATTGATTGAACGATAGCTTCTAAATTTCGGTTCATCCGGTTGACGAGCCTCCCAATTAGGAAGTCCTCCAGCATTCCAAAGTGCGATAGTGTATGGAATACTGAAGTGTAGTTCTTCTGGCTTGAGTAAAACTGGCCGCACGGTTATGGCACTGAAATATGTGTCAATCTTGAAGAGATCAACTGCAATCCTCTTTCTTTGTTGCTCTCTAACTGAACGTAATGGTAGAAAATACCCGGGCTTATCATCTGGATAGATAGTCCCAGGTGTTAAGATTCCAACTTCGTATATAGAGGCAACTAACAGGTTGCGTAAAATCAGTCCTTTTTTCAAAACCTCACGCTTCCCACAGTATGATGCAAAAACAATATTCAACAACGTGCACTGATATAAAACGATTGGCAGAGGCTGTGCCATTGTATCTATATCCATCAGCTGGCATAGACGTGGGATAACATGTTCTACCAAACTATGGTAGACTTTCAAAGCCCAATCTCTCGAGCTTGGAGCCCCGTCAATCCAGCCTCCAATCATCAATATAGATGGGTATAGAAGCTCAGGTGCCTCTTCATCGTCCTCATAAGTTGGAGAATGTATTATGGGCCAACGATCGTGGAAGTTGGCAAAGTATAGAGAACGATATTTCTCGACAGTTTCTTTGGCAAGTGAACATAGGTATTCAAGCTTAGTTATGGGAACAAGGGTATTTTGGTGTGCTTCTCGAATTTGAGGAACATCTTGTTGGATCCTGACGTTTGACCAATCGACAAGCCCATAAGGCGTACGCCCCAGATTCAGCGAGGGAGAATCTTCAGCCGTAACTGAATTGTTAAGCACATTCCGGCTTACTGACGAATCATGTACGTCTTGTAAAGGGCTGTGTGTTGGAATAGAGTTGAATGTTTGATTTGAGCGGGAAGATTGATCGGAGTTGAATGCTTGAGCCACATTGGATGCTTGATTCGTAACAAAGGTCTCATCCGGATTGGGTGTCTGACCAGACTGTGGAC